GTAGATGATCATGAATTGAAATTTGGTTTAGAATACATCTATTGCACGTTCGACCATAGTTCCCTCTTATGGCTAGATTTTTAGCCTTGCTTTATTTTCCTTTATTACTGTTTTTGCTCATGGTTTGCTTGTTCTACCCTTGCACAAGTCCAATGCCACCTAAAAAGAGATCTAAAGTCGCAGCCTCCTCTTCTAGCTCATTTGACAGGAGCAAATTCATTAGTGCCGAGGCCGCTGAACGTTATAATAGCTTGGTGGTACACAAGACATGTATCCTTGAACATGGTTTTGACAATTATATGACAGAGCAGATAGGTCGGCGGAATTGGGAAGTGTTTGCTCGGCAACCACGACCGGCGCTAATTCTGGTTGTTAGGGAGTTCTACGCCAATGCGAAGGAGCATCAAGATTTTCGAGTGTTTGTGCGGGGTAAATGGATACTGTTTGATAGGACCTCCATCAACAGGTTTTATCGTTTGCAAGATATTGAAAATGACGAGTACTCTAGACTTTGTGATGAGGGTGTTGATCCTGATGAGGTTATTCAAGTCTTGACCACAACTAGTACTACATGGAAACATTCGGAGACTGATGTAATTAACTTCCCTGCTTCTGGTATGACTTCGGGTTGTAAGGCTTGGCATCACTTTATTTCTGGCAAAATTATTCCCAGTAGCAACTTAAGTGAAATAACAAAAGAATGGGCTACCCTCAATTATGCCATTCAATGCCGTCTATCAATTGATGTTGGTAAAGTTATTCACAACAACATCTTACACACTTTGAGAGGATCAACGACAGGTGGTCTAGGGCACCCATCATTGATTTATGAGCTTTGCTTAGAGGGTGGTGTTGTCACATACCCGACTGAGAAGGTTGTACACCCCAAACCGGCTATCACACGAGCACATACTTGGAAGTTCTTACGTCGCTCTGAATCCACCAGTGCTCCACCCTCTCCTCGGAGCGACCAGTCGCCCCGTTCACGCCGATCGACACCAACTAATGATCCCACTTCTACCCTTGCCGCTCAGCTTCATGACATGCAATTGCAAATGAATTTGATGTAAAATACATTATGCGAGCAATTCCATTATCAACATGAGTTCAATGCTGTATTGGCTTCGATTTACTCCGATCGAACATTTCCTCAGCCGCCTCTCCTACCTGATCACGCTGTCAATCCTATTCCGAATACCCAGGATGACGATGTCGAGGACGACGATTAGTCGTCGTCCATCAGGTAAGTCCCCTCCCCATTTTGTTTCTATTTCACATTGGGGACAATGCTTCAGTTAAGTTTGGGGGGTGTGAATAAATTTCCTTACGTTGTTGAGTTTCTCGAATGCTTATGTGTGATTTGCCTGTTTTATGTGTTTGTGTTTTTATTCAAAAAAAATTCGTTTTGTGTTTTCGTATGCTTGTGTGTGTTAGATAACCTTGCCGGTATTGATATTTGTAATTGAAAACATGCGTTGATTTATGAATTGTGGATGAGTTATGTGTTTGAGTTAGATTTTTGCTTATTCTTGTGAAACGAAAATTATTTTTTGCACGTGAGTTGATTGTAGTGTTGTGCATGAGTATGTTGATTCACGTTTATAGGTTGAAATAGAGAATTTAGATGCTAAACCCAAACAACCATTAAACATCACAATACCGTTAAACCAAACTTTGGACGTTTGGATGATTGCACTGTTGTAGGGAAACTTGGAGATAAATGTGGATTTCGTGTGTGTTAATTTTTGTGTGGACTGTCTGAGACTAATGGGATGAAAATTGGGTGAAAACCTTAAGTTAAAGGTCGACTGTTGTAGGGGCATTGTGTGGACTGTTGTAGGGGCATTGCACTAATCACCGCATAAAAAAAAGATCCCAATGAGGACAACTTTAATAATCTCATTGTGAATCATCTCTTCGTAGCCTTTATGACCCGAGTGATTAAGCCTGTAAGGGTTTAAAACCTAATGCCCTAAAGTCATCTGATTTGAGAGTCAACGACCTAAAACTCGCTACAGGGGTCATTTAGAAAGTTTAAGGGAGAGACATCCGCCCAAAGAGTGATTGAAGAATAAATATATATATGAAAAAAATAAAGAGAAAAAATAGATATCAGATGCCTTGATTAAGCCCCGAACACTTGTTTTAGAGGATTAGACCTTTGATAAGGGGTTAGTAACTTTGTTGATTCCTAGAGGTTGAAGCAGTCAAAAATGAGGAGAATCCTCATTTGTTGACATGTGGAACTGCAATCAATAAAATCTAACCAAACTTAAGTGGTGTAAGAAATTAGTATTGAAAATTTAACCTTAGGTTACACCCTTGGAAAGAGAAAAGAAAATAATTTTGGGGGTGTGTGAATCCCACGAGCAAAGTAAGGAAAAATTTGACTTCTAAGGTCGGAAATTGGGTCAACTTATTATTGTACAGCGTTGCACTTGACTCTCCACACACACACACCCATTTTGCATTGAATAAGTGAGAATTTAACTTTTGCATTATAGCTTTGAAGTGGTTCATGGAATCGAAGTTATGTTTTTAATTCTAAGACATGAAGGCAAGTTATCTAGCGAAATTTATTTTAAGTGATTTGGTTTGTCTTGGTTGTGCTTGTGTGTCCATTAATTATTTTTATGGGTTTTAGTGTTTGCTCGAGGACTAGCAAATGGTTAAGTTAGGGGGTATTTGATGAGTTTGTTTCACTCATGATTTTCGCACAATTTTAATTTGATTAAATGCTAGATTTTATGAGTATAGAACATTTTTGATGTGTTTGTTAGTGTTGTTTTGAAGATAAGGAGAAGCGATCTGAAAGAAGTATTAAAGTGGATGAAGAGACCAAAAACACGGAATTGGGGCAGAAAGACGGCTCTTAGGCGCTGCACTCATAGCGCCTAGGCGCTATGAAGCTGAAAAAAAAATGAAATTTGGACCCAAGAGACAGCGCCGAAACCATAGCGCCCAGACGCCACCATAGTGCCTAGGCGCTACAACCATAGCGCCTAGGCGCTGAAGACATAGCGCCCAGGCGCTGTGATTGATGATCTAGGGCACATTTTTTTGGGCCATTTTTAAATCCATAAAAACCTTACTTCTACATAAAACGGAGGGGCACCTATAAATATATCTTCCTCATACTTTTGAACGGTTCTTGACACATTGGAGAGAAAACAACAAGGGAGATTCAAAGGAAAAATTCAAGAAGATTAACACTAAGAATTGAAGATTGGAAGCATTCATTGGAAGAGGAAGTAGATCTTGGTGCAAGAATTCCACTTTTTCTTCTTCATCCTTATTTCAAACTCAGTGTTGTATTCTAAGACAAATTCCTTCTTTTCTTCTTGTATTATGAGTAGCTAAATTTATTGTTAGGGGGAATAATGTAACCAGTTGGGATCTTTTACATTTTCTTATTAAGACTTTCAGTTTTTAATTCTTCCATGTGTTGATTTTGCTATGAGTTGAATGCATTAAATTATCCGATCAATAATTTGATGATTTTTGTGAATTATTTACAAATAGAGATATGAGTTTAGGATTTAGATCATGTAGTAAAATCCAATACATTGGTATCACGAGTAGAGATACATATACCATTTATTGCGGTCATAATTGAATTCCTAAAACATAAAACTCGTTTAACTAAGTTGAATTTGCATAGAGATATGAAATTTAATTAGTTAAATAGGCTCAATGAGAACTCGAAAGGGGTAAATTGAATACAATAGGAGAATTCAACCGAGCGCTACATTAGAATTGAGTTTTAATTTGAGATGTAAAGGTGATCAATTGGTGAAGTTATTATACCCTAAAATCCATTCATTATTTGATTCTCCAACAAATCGTGTGAACATTCATTTATTTTCTAGAATTTAGATTAAAGCCCAGATTTTATAACCTTTGATTTATATTCGTTAAATAGTAGTTAAAGAAAGATTAAATTAAGTGCTAGAAAATAGTCCTTGTGAGATCGATAACCAGACTCTTAGGTCCACTATTACTTGTTACGGGTCGTACACTTGCGAAACAAAATTTTACAACACAATTGTAATTGAAAAATAAATAGGGACATTTTGTAGATTATGGAACGATTTTTTCAACCAAAACGAAAGTCCATACCCAATTCTTCGACTTCTAGTTGTGCATCTAGTCCACCATTGATTCTAATCGAGCACAAGAGTTATGAATAACACAAAGAAGTCCCGGGCTCAATTTAATGTGGATGATCTTGAATTTGATCCAGGGATACGCCCCCTATCGAGTCATATGATCCTAATAGCAGAGATGATGTTAGGATGGTATACTTGGAGAAGGGTCCTTGTCGATCATATGGACATGATTTTCTAAGAAGACAGATGGAGAATGATAATAGATGTTTTTGGAAAGAATGGTTCTCCGAATTTCATTGGTTGGAATACAATATAGAAAAGGATGCGACGTACTGTTTGCATTGCTACTTGTTCAAACCCGATAGAGGAGGTCAAGGGGATGGCCATATATTTACTAAAACCAGCTTCAGGGATTGGAAGCAAAAAAATACATTGAAAGATCATGTCGGTTTCTTTGATAATGCTCATAATCAAGCTTTTACAAAGTGTACCAACTTGATGAATCAAAAACAAAGTATCTCATATGTTATTTCTAGCCAAAGTAGTAGTCAACAACAAAGTTATAGGACCAGGTTGACTGCGGTGCTTGATTGTACTAGACTCCTCTTGATGCAAGGATTTTCATTTCGTGGTCATAATGAATTGAAAGAGTCTCTTAATAGAGAATATCTAATTGAGTTACTGAACTGGTATGCAGCTCGTTGTAAAGAAATTAAAGAAGTATTATTTAGTAATGCTCCTGAAAATGACCAAATGACTTCACCAACCATCTAAAAGGATTTGGTTAATTGTTGTGTCGTAGAGACAACAAGGGCTATTATCAATGAGATAGGTGATTCTTTGTTTTCAATTTTGATTGATGAGGCTCGTGATAATTCTATGAAAGAACAAATGGCAGTTGTTTTGAGGTTTGTTGATAAAAGTAAGCAAGTGATGGAGCATTTTTTGGGCATGTCCCATGTCACTAATACTTGTGCCCAATCACTGAAGGATGTCATTGATGCAATGTCTTCTACACATGGGTTGAGCATATTTACCCTGAGAGGTCAAGGCTATGATGGAGCAAGTAATATGTCAGGTGAGTTCAATGGGTTGAAAGCTTTAATTCTAAGAGAGAACCCACATTCTATATATGTTCATTGCTTTGCTCACCAGCTTCAGTTGGCAATTGTATCTATGGCACGTAGGAATTGTATGCTTGGTGATTTGTTCGACATATTTGCTATTATTGTGAATTTGGTTGGTGCATTATGTAAGCGTGTAGATACTCTTCGAACAAGTTATCAAGCTAGTATTCTAAAGAAGCTAAATATTGGAGAACTTACAGGTGGAAGTGGTCAGTTTCAATAAATGAGTTTGGCACGCCAAGGTGATACTAGGTGGGGCTCACATCTACTGACAATTACTCGTTTTATTAATATGCTTAATGCTATCATAGATGTTCTTGAAAATATGTCAGAAGATGGCGTACATTCAAATAAAAAATCTTCGATCGTAAGACAGATGAACGCTATGCAAGATTTTGAGTTTGTGTTCAGTCTCCACTTTATGTTTGAAATTCTTGCAATTATAGATGACCTTTCACAAGCCTTACAGAAAAAGGATGAGGATATTCAGAATGATATGAGGTTATTGAATTTGTATAAGTGTGTATTGCAAAACCTGAGAGCAAATGGTTGGGATACTTTATTGAGTAGGGTGATTGAGTTTTGTGTTGATAGACATATTTTAGTGCCCAATATGGAGGATATTGTGGTAGTGAAAGGTTGACCTAGGCATGTAGCTCAACAGGTGACTTATTTTCATCGCTTTTATGTTGATTTGTACTGTCATGCAATAGACTAAATCTTGCAAGAGTTGAATGATGATTGTAATGTTTCGACTTGCAAGGACCGGAACGTCACTAGATTAATTGTACTTTTAGTCGTAAATTTAAAAATATAGCTAAACATTTAGAGGAAATTATAAAAATTTAATTTAAGAATATTTTTTTTAAAAGAACAATAAATGACAACATAACTCAATACAAAACAAACTAATTCCTAATGTCTTTAGGTGACATCCATGCATAAATACATTTTTGTTACGTGAAATTCTAGGCAAGAATTTAAAAATAAATGTTGTTGTTTGACTTCCCATTTTTGCACAGTAAGTTTTAAAGTAAACTCGTTTACATAGTAATTTAGGTCGAAATTTCACGAAACTTTAAGAAAAAGTAGGGAACTTCTCATAATATAACATATCCAAAATTCAGCTTTCGTCGACGACATATGAGATGTTAAAATATTTTTCAAAACTTCGCAGTGACTCGATTTGGGAAGTAACCCAGCGCAGCATACTTAAGGTGGCATATAAAATTCCGTAGATATTGGATTGACATGATTTTGAGTTTATTCAGTAGCTAATCCATGAAACTATTAAATCTCACTGGTTTTGTCCAAAAATCCCAAGTAACGATTGACTCACGAATTTTTAAGTTCAATGGCAGAAACTGGAATTTTCAGAAAACATCAACACTATGTTTACTTAAAGTGACATACAAAATTTGACCGACATCGGATTGACATGATTCTAAATTTATTCAGTAGCCAACTTATGAGGCTATCAAACACCATTACCGTTGTTCAAAAATTTGAAGTAACAAATTAGTTATGAATTTTTAAAATCTGAGCAGAAACTGAGATTTCTAAGAAAACAGTAACATTAACTAGTTAACATTTTTTTGTAGACGGTGTTTCGTAAGTAAATTCTAGATCACATATATATATTTTTAAACATAACATAATCATAAAAAAAATGTTCATAGAAATAGTTTCATAGAAGATGTCCATAGAAAAGTAATTAATAGGAAACACAAATATTTCATAATCAATTTAAAGTTGTTAATTCACTGGCTTTTCCATGTCAAATTGCATCTTCAACCACCATCATCCGAGCCCCCAACAAAAGAACAAAATCAACCTATAAGAAGGGATATAACCCATAAGTTTGCAACTCAATAGATATCATCGGTACATTTCGTAATCAAATTAGAAAATTCGAATCATAGATTCATACTGTCGCACGTAGATGGATTTTCGGCAAAATTCGATATCTATAGCATTATCATAACACGTAGAGCTGAAAAATGATCATTCAAACTCTAATAGTGCCGAAACACCATACCCGGAGGTACCATTTCATTCAACTTTTAACAAAAAATCAAATTTGAAAATGAAATAACACTTGCACCTCTACCTACCTTAAATTTTCTTGGATATCAAAGAACAAATGTTTAGAAAGCCCTTCTTCTTCTCACCCTTGTTATTTTATTAGCTTAAATTGACATAAAATATATTTTTTTGAGAGAAAATAAGATGAAATTCGGATTTAAGGAAGGATGTAGTGAAAAAGTGACATTCCACTTCTTGTAACCTTTCTTTTTAATGAAAAACTAAATGGGGAGATTTGTATTATCATAAAGTTTGTGAAATTGGATCTTTAACTAAGAATTTGAAGAGTTTTTAAGCCTAAACAAATTCATAAAAAAGTTTTATAAAAACATCTACATGATAATTCGAACCTGGATTGCCTATATGAAATACCATGTAGATGACCATTGTGACAACCAAGTTATTCATTAAATCTTTGCAATCAAATTTACTTAAACTTAATCTCTTAAATTGTTGGACTTTTAATTAATTTACGGCTTGGGCTTTCAAAATCTTAAATGGTTTGAGCTTCCACAACTCGTTTCTTGAATGAGATAGGCTCGTGGTGCTAGGTCATCACAACATAATAGCCTAATTACATTTTATTTCTGGGGCTTCTACATCCCTTACACCTTAAACAAAATTTCGTCCTCGAATTTACCTTATGGATTGGCAAAGAGTGTCGGATATTTGTCTTTAACTTCTTCTTTCTCTTCCCAAGTAGCTTCTTCAACTCCATGATTATTTCATTGCACCTTGACCAGTTGAATCTCCTTATTCCGTAATTTATGTACCCTTCGATCCAGTATTCTAATCGGTAATTCCTCATAAGATAAATCTTTACGTACATCTAGGGATTGATAATTGACCACGTGATCAGGATCATGCATATACTTCTTGATCATCGATATGTGAAATACGTTGTGAACTGCTGATAGTTCAGACGGCAAAGCTAATCGATAAGCTACATTTTCGACCCTATCAAGTATTTTAAAAGGTCCGATATAACGATGTCATAGCTTGCCTTTCTTGCCGAACCTAAGTACACCCTTTATTGGTGCCACTTTTAAAATGACTTTATCTCCAACTTGAAACTCCTAGTCTTTTCATCTGATATCTGCATAGCTCTTTTGTCTGTCTTGCGCTACCTTTATCCTAGTGCGGATCTTATCAATAGCTTCGACTGTCCTTTCAATGATCTTTGGTCCCAAAACTCTCTTTTCTCCGACTTCATCACAATGAAAAGGTGATCTACATCTTCTACCATAGAGAGCTTCATACGGTGCCATTTCAATAGTTGGTTGGAAATTGTTATTATATGCAAATTCTACCAAAGGTAAATACGATTCCCAATTGCCTCCTAGATCCAAAACACAGGCTCTTAACATATCTTCCAAAGTCTGAATGGTTCTTTCAAATTGACCATCGGATTGAGGGTGATATGTTGTACTAAAATTCAATTTTGTTCCCATAGCCACTTGCAAGCTCTTCCAAAACTTAGATGTAAATCTCGGATCTCTGTCAGACACAATGGATACGGGGGTACCATGCAATCTTACGACCTCTTTAATGTACAACCGTGCCAACTGATCTAGACTGAATGTCATTTTCACCGAAAGAAAATGAGCGAACTTCGTTAGACGGCCCACTATTACCCATATAGCATTGTGCCCTCCTGCTGATCTCGGAAATCCTACCACAAAGTCCATTGCATATTCTCCCACTTCCATTTTGGTATGTCCAATAGATTTAACAACCCTGCCGGTCTTTAATGTTCTACTTTAACTTGTTGACACACAATGCATTTTGCCACAAATAGACCTATACTTCTTTTCATATTCCTCCACCAAAATGTATCTCGAAGGTACCGATACATTTTCGTACCACCAGGATGTGCAGTATATGGAGTAATATGAGCCTCCTCCAATATCTCCTTCCTTAAAACTTCATCCTTAGGTACACAAATCCTTCTTTTAAACATCATAACCCTATCTGAAGCTATTCTAAAGTCCTTTCTCTTATTAGTACCAATCTCGTTCTTGATCTTTTGCAAGAATGGGTCCTTACCTTTTGCCTCAATGATCCGATCTCTAAGAGTAGGTCAAACCACAAAGTTGCTAAACGGGTGGTGACTTGCTCTGGTGTGGCAACCATTTCGATTTGTAAATTCACCAAGTCCTTGATCAACTCCAACTGAGTAGTAGGTAATGAAGCCAATCGTCCCACTGACTTTCTATTTAGCGCATCGGCAACAACATTAGCCTTACCAGGATATTAATAGATAGTACAATCATAATCATTTACAAGTTCCAACCATCGTCTCTGTCTTAAATTGAATTTCTTCTCTGTGAAGAAATATTTGAGACTTTTATGATCCGTGTAAATGTCGCACTTCCCTCCAAATAAGTAATGGCACCATATCTTTAAAGCATGCACTACTGCAGCAAGTTCTAGATCATGCGTCAGGTAGTTCAGTTCATGTTGCTTCAATTGCCTTGATGCATAGGCAATCACTTTTCCTTGCTGCATCAGTACACATCCTAAACCTTGTTTGGATGCATCACTATATATAACAAATCCTTCCGAACTTTCGGGTATAGCTAACACGGGTGCTGAAATCAATCGTCGTTTTAGCTCCTGAAAGCTCTGCGCACACTTATCTGTCCATTGAAACTTTACTCCTTTCCATGTCAATTGTGTCAATAGTCCAACTATTTTGGAGAATCCTTCTATAAATCTTCGAAAGTACCCCAGCCAATCCCAGAAAACTTCGAACTTTACCCACGTTAGTTGGTGTATTCCAATTGGTTACTGCTTCCACTTTTACTGAATCCACCTCAATTCCTTGGGCAGTAACTACGTGACCGAGGAATCCAACTTGTTCAAGCTAAAATTCACACTTTTTAAATTTGGCATATAACCTTTCCTTACGCAGTGTTTTTAACGTCATTCTAAGATACTCTTCATGTTGATCTTTATTCTTGGAGTATATTAAGATGTCATCAATGAAGACTATGATAAATTGATCCAAATACTGATGAAATACACAATTCATTAAATCCATGAACACTGCCGGAGCATTTGTCAACTCAAACGGCATAACTATGAACTCGTAATGTCCTTAAGGAGTTCGAAAAGTTGTCGTGGGTATATCACTTACCTTAACCTTCAACTGGTGGTATCCAGATCATAAGTCAATCTTGGAAAATACCTTAGCCCCTTCAATTGGTCAAATAAATCCTCGTTTCTCAGGAGAGGATATTTATTCTTGATGGTCAAACGGTTCAACTCCCGATAGTCAATACACATCCTCATACTTCCATCTTTCTTCTTTACGAACAATACTGGTGCGCCCTAAGGAGACACACTTGGTCGAATAAAGCCACAATCCAATAATTCTTGTAATTGAAATTGTAACTCCGGAAGCTCCTTTGGAGCCATTCTGTATGGAGTTTTAGATATTGGTGTCGCTTCGGGAAATAGATCTATTGTGAACTCCACCTGTCTATCTGGTAGAGTACCAGGTAGTTCTTTTGGAAACACGGTTAAACTCTCGTACCATTGGTACATCCTCAATTT